AAAAAAAAAAAAATATCTATTCAATTCAAAAGAACTCATTTTAACTCAGTTTAACCAAACAAATCATTCAAAATCGGTTTAATTCATATCCAATCGCGACTAACAGTGTTACATAATCGCCTTGTTAATAAATAAAATTAGGTGGTTGCCGGGTTTCCGAGTCCCCGAAATCCTCGACTCCAATATTACTGTTCTAATTAAAGGTACCTTCATTTTATTATTATAACCATAAAATTGGGTCAACGGTTGTTGGAACATATTTATTCACATTTCAACTCACCATCAATAAAGTCAAATTGACGTTGGCTCTGATCTGAACTTGTACAAAGTCAAATAAGTTTGTTCTAGTCATAGGGCCCGGCCCGGCGGATCGTCGGGCCTGAAAACATGTACTTAGAACAGCTCAGATGTAACGGGCTGGTTCACTGACCCGACGATTTGGGACCAGTTCACTGGTCCCAAACTACGGGCTTGGGTCCAATCCCCTTGACCACGGGCCGATGCAGGGCCAGGTCGGTTTGGGTCAAACCGGTAGGCCGGGCCGGTTCCTGGCCATGACTAGTTTTTTTCTTCTTGTTTTTTCCCCTTTATTCCTGTAAATGAGTTTGAATTTGCTCATTTTGTGCTCAAAGTTTCACTACACCACTCTTTTTTATTTCAAAACTCGAGAGAAATTGAAAAAGAGCAAACAAATGAAACCATTGACCACACAAATCATGATTTGCTCCTTAAGCAAAACTCATGTGAGCTTTGACATGAGGCCCATGACTGCATAAAATACACTCCTACTTGCCAGTTGCCACATTTTTCATGTTAATTTATTCATATTTTTTTAGGTTCCTTTTCATGTGATCAACACCTTACACTTTCTTCACCACCACCATTCTTTGAATCCAAGAATTTCCCATCTCTAATGAGCTACAAGGCACAAATGGGAAAACCATCATCATGCCTTTCCAACTTCAATCTCTGGAGAATCATGAGCTGCCTCCAGATCATCTTCGGGTGCCTCGTCATCATCGTCAGCTTCTCGACCCTCTCCCGATTCTACTCCGCCGGCCTCTTCTCCTCCCCCAACGACCAAATCTGCCGCCACCTCATCACCTCCGGCGGGCGCACCTTCGACCTCCCTTCCCTCACCGCCCGCATCAGCGAAGTCCTCGACAAGCTCGAATCCCTTCAGGACCGTCTCGAGTCCCACGTGCAGCAAACCGACAAAAAAACCCCACTCCGCCACATGTCGACACTCGAGCACAAAAAGTTCGTCGAAAACGAGGTTATCCGCCCCCTCTACGCGGCCCACATCGCCCTCCGACAAATCCGACTCCCAAAGATTACACCGCTGGGCGACAAAAACGAGACCCTCGTCGAGGAGGATCCCTTGATAAACGCGTTCGTCGTCGAAGAAATCCGCAAATACATAACTCCAAAGTCGAACCGAGCGGGGGGGCCGGTAAACATCTACGGAGTCGACAAAGTCTACAACACGATCGGCCACACATGCGTGCTCATGAAAACCGAGCTCGAGGAGTACATGGACTACGACGTAGGCTCGTATTGCAACGACGATTGGGCCTTGGCCCAATCCCTCATGATCCGTGGGTGCGACCCGTTGCCCCGAAGGCGATGCTTGACCCAAGCCTCGAAGCTCTACCTCCGACCATACCCGATAAACGAGTCGTTGTGGCGGGTGCCCGACGGGAGGAATGTTAGGTGGAGCAATTACAAGTGCCGGAATTTCGAGTGCTTATCGAGCAAGAATCCGAAAAGGGGCTTCTCGAAATGCACGGGATGTTTCGAAATGGACAAGGAGAAGCTCAAGTGGGTCGAAGTCAAAGTCAAAGTCAACACCTCGTTTCCATTCGATTTCTCGATAAACGACGTGCTTGCGGTGAAGTCCGGGGAGATTCGGATCGGGCTCGATTTCGGGGTAGGGACGGGAACTTTCGCGGCAAGAATGAGGGAGCGAAACGTGACGATCGTGTCCACGGCATTGAACTTGGGGGCTCCGTTTAGCGAGACGATCGCTTTGAGGGGTCTCGTACCGTTGTACGTGACGCTTAACCAGAGGCTCCCGTTTTTCGATAACACGATGGATATAATACACACGACGGGTTTTTTGGACGGATGGATCGACTTGCAGCTGCTCGATTTCATACTGTTCGATTGGGATCGAGTGCTGAGGCCCGGTGGGTTGCTGTGGATCGACCGGTTTTTCTGCAAGAGGAAAGATTTGGATGATTATATGTACATGTTTTTGCAGTTCAGGTACAGAAAGCATAAATGGGCAATTGGGCCGAAGTCGAAAGACGAGGTTTACCTTTCTGCATTGCTCGAGAAGCCTCCGAGATCACTATGATTATGTACGGTTCATCCTCGTTTCAAATAGAGAGAAAAGAAGAATTGTGCTTCTTTTTTTTTCTGAATAAGACATGCAGATAAATGTGATTTTTTTTAATATATATATAATATATACTCAAATAGAGAAAGCAAGTTGACATGCATCCGAAGCGAAAAAATATCCATTTTTTTAAATTTTTCTCGATTGCCATGGATGAGAAATAACACAGTAACACATACATTTCGTGAAGAGATAAAAAAAAGAACACGAATTTCATGAGAACTGAAGAAGAAATGTTCTCATGATCAGCAGTTTCAAATTATTCGAAGTGCACGGAAGCTTCTACAAAACCCCATCCATCTTCTACATCTGGCCCAACCCAAAATCCGGAAATTTGCACGCTTCCACTAAACCACAAACCAGAATGATGAAACATAGGCTCGATGGACTTTCCCGTGGGAATATGGACGCTGCAATGATGATAGCTTCGATTTAGTGAACTCATGCTTCCATTTGCATGCTTGTTTAAGATATGCTTTATGCCTGTACATTTTTCAAATGGTTTAAACTATTAGAAGGCATGATATATAGAAAGGTCTGCTCACAGAGCCTAAAGATTGCAGACAAACTAATGATACATCTCATCGAAAAACATTTATATATGGTATGTTATTTCGGGCGATACACAATTGATATATGCAAAAAATATCATAAATCCATGCGGATGAATAGTTTCACCCTTTAGTACAATCAATAAGCGTGATTTTTTTAGGAAAACATAAGCGCAACAATGGCAGATGATATCATCCTAATTAGGCAAACACGATAAGGAGCAAGTTTTAAAATCTTGAATACGTTAACTAAATAATAGTCATCAAACTGAAAAATCAAAATACTATTAAAAAGATAAACAAATAAATACCACTGACCTGCTCCTCTGGTATGATTTAAAAGCCTTCTGCTATTTAAACTCGTGCGAACTCCCTACAGCATAACGCATTATGATTTATAAGTACAAAGATGCGAATTGAATCAAGTGGGTATTCATCAAATATGGGCTTTCAATGGACATAAATTATAAAAGTACAAGTACAGTTAAAAAAAACAAGTGTCATCTGGATTTAGCATCCCAAGTTACAAGTAATCATACAAATGTGGACAAACAAAAAACTCCAGTAATCTATTCAAGATTAGGAGCATAATGTATGAGGTACAAGAACGACAATGAGGCGTTCTGTTTAGCAGAAAAACGGGGCTTCCTTGCTCATTAGAAAGAACAAAATAGAGATCAGAATAAACAAGAGTAACAAATTATACATTATAAGCCATGTTAGACCTGGAAAAATTACATTGCTGCTAAGCTAAATTAATATATACTTCAGAATGGACACAATGCTAATGAAAGAGCTGGAAAAACACTAGTTCAAGACTTCAATAAGAGAACTCATATATCATACACGTTCCATTTTGCCTCTAAAAGTTACTACCATAAGACTAAAGCAAAGTATAATGCCGTAATCTATCAGTGGTATTTCAAACTTATAAGGTAGAAGTTCTACAAACACACACGAGGAAGATCTATTCCTTTATTAGCATCACATACATAAAGCTTTTCATCTCTTGAGAGTTCAGATGAACCTCAACCCGTTTGCAAACACTATAAAGATCGCAACTTTAGGGTGCCCGTAGCCTTTTTCGGGTGAGAGAAGCTCGTTTCTTCTAATAATTCAAGACAATACCCTATTTATCTCCATGACCAAAAGATAAGTTTAAGGAAATTTCTCAAAACAAAGACATATAAGTATAACTTCAGCCACTTCAACAGTCCAAGCCAAGCCCATCAACAACCTCTGCATCAATCACAAGCCCGATTAACTCCTATTTTTTTCGGGCTTTCCATTTTCATTCGGCCCGAAAACATGGTTTCCACATTTCTCCACACAACTGCCAATATTTTTTTTCAATTTTTCTAGCCCATGTGCTTCGCAGCTTCGCTTATATGATTATTAGTACGAAAGCTGTCTTAATTGTAAGCGCAAGAATGAGATGTTTGATTTCAAGATTCCCAAAATTAGAGAAGAAATTTGCAAAAAGGTTGAACCTTTACTAACACCCCTCTTCACTTGTGTCCCATTAGAGTACTTTCGCAAAGAAATTTCAGAGAAAAAAGGGAACTTTTTCAAAGTTACCTGAAAAGGGGATTCGCAGGAGCAGAAAGGCTTGAGAAGTTTGGTTGATAGCAAGCACGACATGGAGAGTGTTGAAACGGGCGGCTGATTTTTGCATATCACCAAATGTTTCCTCTTTTCATCTGATATCATAATACATGAAGATGCTATAGTCGGGTGAGGTGCGCCTGCGGTGACAGCACCTACGGTGCCCCCTCCCACAGCCTTGGAGGAGGCACCGTAGGTGCTGTTTAAAAATGCACCGTAAGTGCCCCTCATCCGCTATAGTCCCGCGTTTCGATCAAATGGTTACAAACTCGATTCGATGTAGTTTTGTTTGGTGGAGTAGCTGATAAGCTAGCTGATAGCTAATAAACGAGTTTATAGCTTATCAGTATTTTTTTAGCTTATATCTTATAGCTTATTACTTATATAGCTGAAAAACTAGCTTATATGATAAAAGTGTTCGGCAAAATTAACTGATAAGCTTGGTGAAATAAAAAATTCAACTAGTTTATTTGAAAAGCTACCGGAAGAAGCTTATCAAATAAGCTCGAGCTTTTTAAAAAAGCTCGTCATATCAAACGAGACTTATTTGAATATAAGGAGCTTATAAGCTAACCAAATAAGTTAAAGCTAGCTTATTTGTCTACCAAACACAGTCTGGCTATGTTTGGTAAACTAGTTGATAAGGTAGCTGATAGCTGATTATTAGTAATTTTCGAGCTTATAGCTTATCGCTTATGACTTATAGCTGAAAAGCTAGCTTATATGATAAAAGTGTTTGGTAAAATTAGCCGATAAGCTAGCTGAAATAAAAATTTCAACGAGCTTATTTGAAAAGCTACCATCTCGAGCTTTTTAAATAAGCTAGTCCTATCAAATGGAGCTTATTTAAATACAGGAAGCTTATAAGCTAATCAAATAAGTTATAAGCTAGCTTATTGGTCTACCAAAACTTCCCCATAATACCACCCAAAATTAACAAATTTAGACAAGTGTTGACACGAATAAAGCCTCGGTTGGGGAAGAGATTGGGATAAATCAATTTTTATATAAATAAGATTTTAAGTTTATGTAAAACATTTAATTAAAAGGCAAATTTTCCCTCTAATATCACGACTTTTATTGAAGTTACAATATAATCATGACGTTCTCACTTTTGCAAAATATATCACAATCTTTAGTTTGTTGCAAACAGTCTGAAAACTGTCATAAAAAAACTGATGTGGTCGAACAACAAACTAAAAATTGTGATATAGTTTGCAGGGGATTTGCAAATCGATGCACCAATTTGCAACAAACTGAAAATCGTGATATAATTTACAAAAGTAAAAACATCGTGATTAAATTGTAATTTTGAAAAATGTCATAATATTAAGGACAATTTTGCTTAATTAAACAAAAAGTTTGCAAAATAATTTATAAAATTATATTAAAGTAGTCCTATTTATCAAAGAAGGATATGTGATAATATTTTTATTTTTTTTGAGCTTTTTAAAATACCCAGGTAAACTATCAAATCGAGGCTTGAAAGATTTTTTTTCTCAATTCGGGACTTAAATGTTATAAAACTATCAAATTAAGTTCTATAATTAACAAAACTCACAACACCATTAAATTGAGAGTTAAAAAAAAAGACAAAACTGGTGCTTACTCATATAAAATAATAAGAAAACGTTTGCATAATATTAAAAAAAAAAAAAAAACAGAAATAGATGATAGCAAGAAAACCGAACAAGAGCTTCATACTTTCTTTAATTTTCTCCAACAATCTCGTATTTTCCTTAATTTTCTTCATTTTTCTTTTTTTTTTCTTTTTCTTTTTTTTTTTTTACTTTGTAACATATTTGGTGTTTTAAAATTTCAAATTAACTCTTAATTTAATTGTGTTATGAGTTTTGTTAATTTTAGGACTTAATTTAATAATTTTATAACATTTAAGTCATAAACTCAGAAAAAAAATCTTTTAGGCCCCGAGTTAATAGTTTACCTATCTTTCAGGTTTTGTATTGAAAAAACTCATATTTTTTTATATATTTGTCCAGTATATATGCCATGAAAAAACAATGTTATAAAAAACAATATAAAAAACGTAACACGTATTTTAAAAATTACTTATGTGACAATGAAATGGTAATTAATAAGTCGTCTAAAAGAAAAACCAATATGTTTGTAATATAATTTCTTTATACATATAAATAATGTGATAATCACATTTTATTAAATTCTGAAACTGAAAATAATGAAACTTTGTTCTTAAAATATTGGAAAAGAGCATGTTTATTTTTTGGTACAAATATATTGCTCTATTATATTAATTATCTAAAAGAAAGGAACAAATACTTTAGCTTAAATGTGTTCAATAATTATAAAATACAATATTTTGTCTAGCACAAGAAGTTTCACATGGCAAATCACATTTCATCTGTGCCATAGATTGTACACACAATTCAAGAAGAATAAAATTAAATAAATAATAAAAAAAAAGTAAGCATCAATCTATATGGAGATGCTGTTTGGAATCCCCCGACCAGTGAGCCCGATCTCACTGCTCGGATACAACAATGTGTAAGGCATCTTCACTGGCCCGTATCTATTCCTCCACTTCCCTTCCCCATTCATCTCCACAATCCTACTCTCTATATCGCCAAGCCTCCTCCCGAACCTCTCGAATGCCTCAATCGCCCGTTTGTCCACTGTCCACTCTGTCGTGTCACGCTGCCCGAGAAAAACCTCATCAGCCGCGTGCCTCGACAGTATCTCCACGAGCGATATCCCGAGCACGCTCTGCAGCTGGGATGTGATTGTCTTCAGGTAGGCCAGCTCGGGTTTCGCCACGAGCTCCTCATGCTCAGGAGTCCCGGTTTTGGGTATGAGCCGCCGGCTCGTGGACGGGCGGTTCGGGAGGTAGCCGCCGTATGGGTACTGACCGAAGTTGACTGCTGCGTGGAGGGCAGATGCTATCCATATGATGATGGTGCAGGAGTTGACTAGGTCTTCGCGGGTCTGCATTGCGGGCCACCATGGCTCGTTTTTCTTGTCTGCGTGTCCTTTTTCTCGTATTTCGGCCCACCATGATTGGAGCTCGATGTCTGTCTTGATTGTCTCATTGGTTGTGTAGTAGAGGCTGCAGTAGTCCTCAACCCATGATTTGATGGCGGACCAGATTTCGAGCCCGTCCACAGCGAACGGGTAGTCCTCGATTAGCAGGCGAACACCGTGGGGCGAGCTGGGGTCCTCAACCGCGACTCCTCTAAAATGGAAGGAATTTTTTTTTATTTATTTTTTATTGTTGGACAAAATACATTTTCTCGAAAGATGAATGTGTTTATAACGAAAAATAGGATGTGTGTGTATGTGTGTACCTCTTAATAAGATCTGCAGGGAGAGCCTGCTCAGGAAAAACCCATTTCTTGTAAATGCTACTCGACATCTCCATGGAATATTTTCCAGGAAAAACAGTAATCTCAAGAAATCCTCCGGCATTTATGAGGGTTTGCCGGCCGAGTGCATTGATATGCATCGTATCCTTGAAATGGGGCTGCAAAAGCTTATGAATCGGGTGAAGTACACTCAGCTGCCTGTTTGTGGCAATAATGAACGGCTCGATCACTGCATGAGTGTGCAGCCTGTGCCCAAAAGAAATGAAAAGCATAATGTTTGTGCCTTAAACTGTTATTCAGCTCTATTTACTTTTATTTATTTTATTTTTTTTCTTGCAGTTAATTTTTTACCAGTGAGACATGATCTGATGGTAGCCCGAGTCATTCACTGAAACGTAAGCCTTGGCCAACTGCCAAACGGAGCCTTCGAGTCCTTCTTCTGCTGGGGTGTGTACAGAGCTTATTGCTCCAAGATGATCCCCTTCGGGATTTGGCAAGCTTAGCTCGATTGCTAGTGGCTTCAGTGTTCCATCTCTTTTCAGGAAGAGAATCGTCCGTGTTGCGTATGTTTTTGTTTCCGTTGTGTTTATTCTCCTCAGGTAAGGCATCAAACTGTCGTGATGATCTAATATGAACAGTTTATTGTTCTGGATCGCCTATATTTGTAGCAGCATCAAGGCTCAGTCGAAACATTTACCACTATATTATATGCCTCAGCTTACTTTAGACTAAAGAGCTATTATAAAGTCGAAAAACACGAAACGAAATTAAGTTCCGTTTTTTTTTTTACCTCGCTTATGGTCAGACCTTCTAGACTGTTCATAATGTGCTCTTCAGAGATAGTGCTAGATTGCTTTCCATATAACTCAGGATCTAGCTTGCTTCCTGGAGGGAACTCCTGCAAGTAGATTTTTGCATTACAGATCAACCGAGCACGTTTATCTTTTCGGAAAAAGGGAACATAATCCTTTCATTATTCATGTGTGGCAACAAAAACTTATGCAACTTGAGCCCACAGCTCTCTCTCTCTCTCTCTCTCTCTCTCTCTCTCTCTCTCTCTCAGCTGGAAAGAACAATTTTGTATCTGACTTGGAACAAAACATATACTAAGAGCTTTACCTGAAGTCGACGGATAACAACAGGATTGATTCCAGCCAGCATTTCTCTAGCAAATTCTTCATCTGTTCTCCAAGCAGTTTTATCCTCTGTTTCATGATAAAAGATGAGAAGACTAACCAGCCAAAGAAAAAAGCAATCACAACTATCTTGCACATCATCATCACCTTTAATGACCTGTGGCATCGGAAATTTGAACGTTTTCTCCCCATCCGACCTGAGCAGCTCCTTTATCATCTCGAACGGGATACTATTCCTAATCCTTTCCATCAAAGACCCATCCGCCACATGGACCCCACTTTCATAAAGCTTCAGCACATCCTCGAACGAGTCGAACTCGGTTGGTGTCTCGTCAAACAGCGCCATGAACTCAGGCGCAAGAAACTGAAATATCGACTTGAGCCCATACGCCACGAAATCCGACATTTTCAGACCACTGAACCTCTCGTCCCTTGGCACGTAGATACTCAAGCTCTGATACAGCGGTATTCTGCTCTCACACTCGGGATCTTTACCGAAAAGAAAAATATCGAGTTAAATAATATATTAGAAAAAATCCATAGATACAAATTCTACAAAAATATGATTTCTTTTTCCTATTTTATGAACCACATTACCTGATGAAGCTGGAGGCCGTCCAGTTCTTCCCCTGCGTGGATACGGATGTTCGACTGAACCACCGAGGATCGGCCGGACGTGCTCCGGGCCTTTATCCGGGTCGCCCAAATCATTGTAGATATCATAATCGTACACTCGATCCCACTCCTCACGCTTTCCGGTCCCATTGCCTCTCAAATTCTCAAGTTCTTCTTCTCTGTAAGCACGCAGAGAAGCCGGAGTTTGACTGGGAAGATATGCCTGCATGACACAAGCTTACATTACATTTAACGATTTATCAATCACGACACTCAAGAATCGAGTTTTCGAGCACTACCTGATTAGCGAAAAAGATACGGTCCCTCATGTAGTGTTCAGCTGGGTAGACCCATGAATTGCACACGAAATGGACTCGGCCATGACCCGGGACTTCCTTGAGGGTGAGAGACTTGAGATAGAATTCGTTATGGTGAAAGTTTGCTATCGTGAACGCACCGGGAAAGCCCGAGTCCTCGGTCCACTCGAACGTGACGTTGTAAGAGGTGGGTCCCGCTGCCAGAGAGGCGACTTTTGTGACCCAGTCTTCTAAGTATGCTTTCTTGCCGGGTTTTCCTCTGTAGCCATCTTCTGCTCGGGCAAAAAAAAAACGAGACCGGGGGCTCGTTAGTTGTCGTGTGCATAAAGTCTTTCAGCATTCAGATTCAAGAAACAGCATATATATAAGTAGAATCTTGAAATGGGTCTTGGGATGATTTGCAGGTTATGGAGTATTATTATTATTATGCGCATACAAGGGGATTCTCCAGAGTCAACTACACAAATCATTGGTTTGATTTTAAACAAATCTCTTCACGAGAAAAAAAGTCCTCTGCATTTTATTAGCAAATAAATTAACTAATCTCCATATCACGCGGAACGAACACACACATACACAAACACACATACCGGCGGAGGCTGTGGTGGTGATGAGCTGCAGCGCCACCTTCCTTCCCAGTATCTCATCAACCCGATCGACGACCGACGCCGCCACGTCATTGAGCTGGAGCAGGTTCTTCTTCATCAGGACCACAGATCCTCTGATCTTCCCGCTCCCCTTCTCCTCCTCATCGCGCCTCGATTTCTTGCTCGGACTGTAGAACAGCTCATCCATTTCCTTCCCCAATTAGGTCTCCGCTCAATCGAACACCAAATCGAAAAACAAAACCCCACCAACAAAATTTGAAGGAGAAGAGTAGTTGAGAACAACTCGAGATCTCAGAGCACTATAAATGCTTAAATCCGACATGGGTTTGGGTTGACTCGCGGCATTATTCAATTCTACACTTCGTTTTCATGGGAAGGCTCCTCGAGCTTGAGCTCTGTGTGAACTTCAGCTCGTTCAAACACTGTGCTTGGCCACTAGCGTTAGAATAATTGTACGGTATTTTGTGAGTGTGATTGGTGTGGACTTTGCCGGGGGTTAGGTGAGATGGAGCTTTCAGATTTTCAGAATGTAGAAAAGATTCGCTCACAGTGCTTGTCATTGATTGGTGAAGAAGATGGGTGTGTGATCCAATTTTGACTTCAGTCAACGGGTCAGTGTGGTGGGCTTTCGGGTTGATTTCCCCGGGCTGAGATCCGAATCGTTGACTTGGAAAATGAGTTGATCGAACATGTTTGACTAATTTGGCTCAACTGCTCAAGCCTTTTCACATGGTATCGTATTTTCAAAGAATGTGGGCTCTAAGACCGGTCAATGGCCGAAACTAATACTCGTTGAGGATATGCCACTCTACGGATATCGTGGTCAATCCATGCTCAATGATAAAAAATATACATAAAATTCTTATTTTTGATAGTCAACTGAGTTGAAACAAGTTCGACTCGTGACTAAACGAGCTTTTCAATCAGTTTGGGGTCATAACATCTCTTGTCAAAAGAGTCGAACCGAATTTACGTACGGCTCGTTTCCTTAAATAACTCTACTAAGTTTCTACTAATAAAAGATTATTCTCGTATTATGTATTATTTTGTATGTCAAGCTCTATTAATTTCATGCATAACTTACTTTTAATATTTTCTACGGTTACGAAACCATTGTTGACATCCGGATCGGTCGGGTCAGGACCAAACAGGTCGGCCCCATGAGCTGTATAGGACCGAATTCCTGAAAAGCGTCGAGTTGATCAGGAGCGCAGGAGTCGACCTGAGTCGAGGAATTATATGCAGTACGGGTTGGAAGGGAATGCTTCCCGAGCCCGGCACCCGGACACGTGGGGTCCGAGCCGGTCTCATCCCAGTACCGAACTGAAGAAAGGCTCACCCGGGCCACGCGGGCCTTCAGAGCGAAGGTGCCGATCTGAATAAGCTAGAGCCGCCCTGCCAAAGGATAGCGCCGATCCGGTCGCTATTAAAATATTCGCCACTTGGGAGGTCATCATTCGTTGATGGGACGGCCCGTCACAGTCATTCAATCAGCATTAAATGCTACCCATGCTTGCATTTAATGCCTAGCAAGCAATGATTGGGGAAACCTCAAATCGCATTAATGAACTGTCAGGGAGGCGCCGAACTGCTCTGCAAGTCTACTGTACGACAAGACTGGTGAACAGTACCACATTTAAGAGTACTATAAATAGCAGCTCACCTCATTTATTTTGGGGTTGTTGAATCCTCAACTAACTTAAGCTTTCCTCTACTTTCTCTCTCTAAATTGTAAGAAGCCCCTTGAAAGAATTGTAAGTATATCATAAGTGCCGACCTCGAACGAGAGGCCGACCTCGTGATCATTTAATAAAATCGTAATTAAACCATATCTTTCTTTTATTTCCAGTCATGTACTTTCCATATTTTCAATATTAACCGTTGACCGAAAACGCTCGTCAACAGTTTGGCGCTGGAAGGAGGGCACCATAAGTTACTTGGTGTCGACATTTTTCGACCTAGTGTTTAACGCTACATCACATTTTCTTTTGTTCCAAATCATCTCCGCTCCAAAACTCGACCAGAGATGACTTCATCCACTCACGACGAGTCAACACAGCAATCCGGCGCTCAGTCCCGCCGGCGCAACGGCGAGGGAACCTCCCGCCGAGTCCAACAAGGGACTCAAGCCCCTGTTCCTCCAGTTCCGACCTTCGCGGAGGCCATGCAGCACCCCGACGTCCTAAAAGCCCTTGAGGGGGTCTTCGCAAGGGCGCTCTCTGGTCAGACGGCCGGGGGCAACACCGTGGCGGCCACGGAAGGACCCCGACAACACACTACTCCAAACTCCCGCCAAGGAGGCGGACGGACAAAAGAAGAAAAAATCCGCCAAATCCAAGACGACGGCCCAGTCCCCCAACCGCGCCGCCTTAGAACGGCGCGAGAAGGGAGCCGGCCCGACGCCTTCCGAACAGACCGGTGAAAGCCAGCCGGATCGGAGCCTGCAGGTTATTCGCCGCTCCGTCTATCAACGCCTCGGCGACAAAAGCAAGGCCAATCGGGACCTCAGGGAGGTCATTGAATGGGGAAAAACCATCGGGCGCGATGCAGACGAGGTCGTGGCCCTTAAGCATAGAATCGCCGAACTGGAAGGTCGGCACCACACTCAAAGCGAACCTTCACCTCCATTCCTACCACCTCCTCCCTTCCCACGACCTTCTCCCCGGGTCGTGGACCACGCCTCACCACTCTCGCCCGACATATTGCAAGAACCCGTCCCTCAAAAAATCAAAGTCCCTCAGCTCGGACTCTATGACGGGAGCTCGGATCCGGACTCCCACATCGGCCTCTACACCTCGTGGATGGACCTGCACGGCGCCACTGATGCTTTGCGCTGTCGCATGTTCTCGCTGACATAGGGGCCCAAGGCGCAGAGGTGGTACCACTCTCTGTATCCCCACTCCATCTCCATGTGGGGGCAACTCAGGGCGGCGTTCCGATCACACTTCATCAGATCGCAGATCAACCTCGCCCCCAAGGAATCCATCGCCAACATCGTCCAAGGCGAGGACGAAAGCTTGAGGGATTACATAACTAGATTCAACGATCGAGTCCAAAACATGGAACAATGCCACCCAGAGGCGCTGCTGATCTCGGCACAGGCCGGCCTGAAGCCGAAGACTTTGTTCAAGTGGTCCCTTTGCCAAAACAAGCCGACCACATACCAAGAATTTCTTGTTCGTGCCCAAAATTATATCATGGCCGAAGAATCCTCGTCCATCCCGGTGCTCGACGCCGCGTCAAACAAGGGAAAGGCGAAAGATGAAAAGTTAGGAAAATCGGGCAAATCATTTGCCGAGATCCGAGCCATGAGGAGGCAGAAAGCGGAGGAGATCAAGGAGACCTATCAAGGTGTCTTTTCGGCAGGAGCCGCGGCCGTCTACGAGGAGATCAAGATCAAAGGGTTGCTACCAGACCCAAAACCGATGTTTACCGACAAGGACATGGTGGACAAATCCCGTTACTGCACCTACCACAAGGCTCATGAACACAACACCGACCAGTGCCGAAACCTGATCTCGGCACTGCTCAAATTGATTGAGGACCAGCACGTTAAAAGGTTTACCCACTCAGGAGAGAAAAGAAAGAAGGGAGGCCGTTTCGAGGACGGTCTCGACAGTGAAGACGATGTCGACGTGAACCCACGAAGGAAGAAGCCGCAACAGGGCGGCCCCAATGAGATCCTGACATTCAACCCGGCTTATCAAGGCGAGGCCGGCACCTCGAAGGGCCGGAAGCGAAATCGGTCCCCTTCATGGGGGGCCGACCAGGCCTATTCCCCACCCCGGCGTGTGAACACCAGTCGAGTTGAATCCCTCCTGTCGAGAAGACAGACCAAGGCTTATGCCCGACAAGCCTATCATGCCGGGCAAAGGGTGATGCACGCCGGGAGCAGGCCGGCACCTGAACAGACTCCCAACAAGATTTCATTCACCGACGAAGATGCTTTCCTCTTTGACCATCCCCACTCCGACGCGTTGGTTATCACCACACCCATCATGGCAATCAAGATCCACCGCATCATGGTCGACACTGGGGCCTACGCAAGTATACTCTACTACCACGCTTTCAAGAAGATGGGAATAGATTTAAAGGACGTCCAACCATGCCGAGAACGGATCCAGGGCTTCAACGGACATATGACTACCCCGATCGGCCAAGTCACACTGCCGATCCGGTTCGGAGAAAAGAGGCAACCCTCAAGAACCATCTTCGAGACCTTCAAAATCGTGGACTGTCAGAGCGAGTACAACGCCATCATAGGCAGGACGGCGCTTTATAAGTTGAGAGGCGCCGTCTCCATCTTTCACTATTCCATCAAGTTCCCAACCTCAGACGGGGAAGGGACACACCGAGGAGACCAGAGGGAAGCTCGAGAGTGCGTTCTGACCATTCCACGATTGGAGATAAGTACCGCCAACCCCGTTTCGGATACCGAGATGACAGTTGACCAGGAACATCTGCAGATCGTCCCCAGCGAAAGCACCGATCCGGTGCCGGTTAGAACAGAGGGGAACCGTATACTGAGAAACCAGATAGGTTCGCCTCATGTGTCGAGACAAATGCCGACCTGGTCAGCGGAAGCGCCGACGTTGACCCAAGTCCGGGGGCCGAGCAGGCTAGTCTCGATTTGAGGGACGACCGCACGCTGAGCAATCAGACAGGTCCGCTCCCTCAGGTTGAGGACGATGCCGACCAGGTGGGATAAGGGTCCGGCGCCGACCTGGACCGCGACAGGGGCCGGAGAGCCGGGAAGGAGCCGGTCACGGAAGAAGATGAGCTCGACCCCAGCACTCAGTACGAAGAAAAGAGGGGAACCAAAAGAGCCGAGCCGATGGACTAAGTCGAGATCATTTTCATCGATGAAGAAACTTGTCAAAAGCAACTCCGAATTGGGAGCCGGTTACCGGAACCACTAAAGACCGAACTAATCAAATTCCTTAGGGAGAACGCGGACGTTTTCGCATGGACCCACGAAGACATGGTCGGCATCGACCCAAAAGTTTCCTGCCACAGACTCCAGGTCGACCCCACGGTCAAACCCGTGGTGCATAAGCGGAGAAAGCTTGGCCCTGATTGCCAACAAGCCTTCGAGGAGGAGGTGATAAAATTGAAAGACAACGAGTATATCCGGGAGGTCCGGTACCCGACCTGGGTCGCCAACCCGGTCCTCGTGAAGAAGAACAA